GGGTTTCACCATGTTGCCCAGGCTGGTCTTGAACTCCTGGTCTCAAACATCCTTCCTGCCTTAGCCACCCAAAATGTTAGCATTACAGGCGTGAACCACCACGTCCAGCCAATAAAATTATTATGTAGTTTTTAAAATCTAGCGTATTTAATCATTTACCTGAACTCATATCTACCCAATTTTTGTCAAATTTAAGCCTGTGTTGTGCCTGCATATGAATGTTTTATATGATTTTTATCTTTGGATGTAGTTGGAAACATTAGCTTATTTGCCTCAAAGAGATGACAGGAATTCAGAAAATATTGTTGGTTCTGCTACTGAATCCTATAGTAACAAAAATTAATGCAATTGAGTTGCAACATTGCATATCAGAAGTTTAATATCTATTTGCTGAAATGGTAATGATTAATCCTAATTGGATGCCTACATTTTCAGAAAGATGTGCCGGATGGGGTCAAAGAGCTATCAGAAGGTTCAGAAGAAAGCAGTGATGGTCAGTCAGATTCCCAGAGTTCTGAGAACAGCAGCAGCAGCAGTGATGGTGGCAGCAACAAGGAGGGAAAAAAAAGCAGGTGGAAAAGGAAAGGTAAATCCACCTGATCCTTCAATAAAGTACTAAATGCTGTAGGACAAATGCCCTTGTTAGTAGTTCCTCTTTTCCCAGACCCCAGGTCAGTCCGTTACTTTCCCTTACCCTCTATAACAGTCCTGTCAAGGAGAGTTTTCTGCAATGATGGAGATGTTTATATCTTTACTGTCCAGCACAACACAGTAGCCACTAGCTACATGGGCCTATTGAACACTTGAAATATGGTTATTATGACCAAGGAGTTTAATAAAAACGCTTTCTTTTTTAGAGCTGTTTGAGGTTCACAACAAAATTGAGAGGAAGGTACAGCGATTTCCCATGTACCCCTCCCCCACCACATGCACAGCCTTCCCCACTAGCCACATTCTCCACCAGAGTGCTATATTTGTTACAGTTGATGAACCTACATTGGCATATCATCACCCAGAGTCCATAGTTTACATTAGAATTTACTCTTGGGAGAGTACGTCCTATGGCTTTGAACAAATGTATAACGATGTGTATTCACCATTATAGTATCAAACAGAATAGTTTCATTGCCCTAAAATCTGTGCTCTAGCTCTTCATCTCTTCCTGCCTCCTAACCCCTGACAACCACTGACTTTTTTTTTGAGACAGAATTCTACTTTTGTGGCCCTGGCTGGAGTACAATGGCATGATCTCAACTCATTGCAGCCTCTGCCTCTTGGGTTCAAGCGATTATCCTGTCTCAGCCTCCTAAGTAGCTGGGATTACAGGAGCCTGCCACCATGCCCAGCTAATTTTGTATTTTTAGTAGAGATGGGGTTTCACCATGTTGGTCAGGCTGGTCTCGTACTCCTGACCTCAGGTGATCTACCCACCTCAGCTTCCCATAATGCTGGGATTACAGGCTTGAGCTACTGTGCCTGGCCTGATAACCAGTGACTTTTTACTGTTTCCATAGTTTCACCTTTCCCAAAATGTCATATAGTTGGAACCTTTTCAGATTGGCTTTCCTTTAGTAATATGCATTTAAGGTTCCTTTGTCTTCATGGCTTGATAAGTTATTTATTTCTTTTTTGTTTGAACTTTTAAGTTCAGGGGTACAAATGCAGGTTTGTAACCTAGGTAAACTTGTACCATGGGTGTTTGTTGTGCAGACGATTTCATCACGCAAGAATTAAGCCTTGTACCCACTAGTTATTTTTCTTGATTCTCTTCTTCCTCTCCATCTTCTCCCACACCATCCTCTGAAAGGCCCCAGTGTGTGTTGTTCCCTTCTATGTGTCATGTATTCTCATCATTTAGCTCCCACTTATAAGTGAGAACATGCAGTATTTGGTTTTCTGTTCTGGTATTCATTTGCAATGGGTCATTTCTTTCCACTTTCCATTGTCTGGGTGTGCCACAGTTTGTTTATCCATTCATCTACTGAAGGATATCTTGGTTGCTTCCAAGTTTTGGCAATTATGAATAAAGCTGCTTTAAACATCTATGTGCAGATTTTGTATGTGCGTAAGTTTTTAGCACCTTTGGGCAAATACCAAGGAGTGTGATTGCTGGATCATATGTTTAAGAGTATGTTTAGTTTTATAGAAACTTCCAAACCATCTACCAAAGTGACTGTACCATTTTGCATTTGCACCAGCAGTGGATGAGAGTTCCTGTTGCTTCATGTCCTCATCAGCGTTTAGTGTGGTTATTGTTGTGGATTTTGGCCTTTCTGATAGGTGTGTAATAGTATCTCGTTGTGTAAATTTGCATTTCCCTGATGACATGTGTTGTGGAGCACCTTTTCATTTGCTTGTTTGCCATCTACATATCTTCCTCGATGAGATGTTTCATCAGGGCTTTGGCTTATTTTAAAATCAGGTTGTGTGTTTTGTTACTGTTGAGCTTTAAGAGTTCTTTGTATATTTTGAGTAACAATCCTTTGTCATATGTCTTTTGCAAATATTTTCTGTGTCTTGTCTTTTCTTTTTTTTTTTTTTTTGAGACATAGTCTCACACTGTCGCCCAGGCTGGAGTGCAGTGGCGCGATCTCGGCTCACTGCAACCTCCGTCTCCCAGGTTCAAAGGATTCTCCTGCCTCAGCCTCCCGAATAGCTGGGATTACAGGCACCTGCCACCACATCAGCTCATTTTTGTATTTTTAGTATAGACGAGGTTTCACCATTTTGGCTAGGCTGGTCTTGAACTCCTGACCTCGTGATCCACCCGCCTTGGCCTCCCAAAGTGCTGGGATTACAGGTGTGAGCCACCACGCCCGGCCAGCCCACCGCCCCTGGCCCGTCTTGTCTTTTTATTTTCTTGGCATTTTCTTTCACAGATCAGAAATTTTTAATGAAGTCTAGTGTATCAATTTTTTTCTTTTGTGAGCTGTGTCTTTGGTCTTGTATCTGAAAGTCATAAAACCCCTAGATTTTCTTCTGTTATGTTATGTTCTAGGAGTTTTAGAAATTTTCATTTTTATTTAGGACTGGGATCCATTTTGAGTTAATTTTTTGTGAAGGGTATGAGACCTGTATCTGGATTTCCTTTCTTGTTTACATGTGGAATTCTTGTTAGGGATTTAATTTTGATTTTATTTTAACTTTAAATAGCCACATGAGGATAGTGGCTACCACACCAGACAACATTCTAGGTTTTACCTGAATTTGTTCTTAAGGTCTTAAGTCATTCATAGCCTTTTTAGGATGCTTTTATTTTACTTGCCTAAACTTTGAGCACTTAATGCTCTAACAACCCTCCTTAGGAAAAGAATGCTTTTCATTTCTACTAACAAACACTGAATTTAGTCTGCTGGTCTTTGCTCTTACTCCATTTGGTGTCTACTTCGTAGCTCACCCAAAAATCTTTCTTTAAGGAATAATGTCTGTTGCTGCAGCTTCCCTGGAATGGATTTTCCAGTCAAGGATATGAACTATTACCTAATACTGCTAATTATTCTGTAGCGTCTTGTCAGAGTCTATTTAAAGAGGGCAAACCTTTTTTATCCCAATATTTGTATTGGCTGTAAATGGCAAGGCAAATTTTAAACCAACTCATGATGATTCCTTTACAAGGACTGACATAGTTATGTTCCAGAACAAAACAGGCATTCGAGATTTTTTCTAGCTTGAATATCCTTTTAGATTTGAGTGATGATAGGTGAGTTGTCTTTGGAACTAGAAGCTCAGGTTATGTTAGAATACTAGACTCATTCATTTAAGTCCCTTCAGAATGGTTACTATGCCTATATGAGAAAAATAGTTCTGATTCACTGCCATCCGTCTGGTAATGTTTTTGCTACTTCTGGAGAGAATTGAGATAATTGATGGCCTCATCTGTTCTCTCTGCTGTAGCTACTACGTACATAATTTTAGAGAACTTTGTAATCAGAGAATCTTACCTTTAAGTTGATAACCACTTAGAGAGCTACCCAGACCTCAATTGTTAGGAATAAATGGAATGAAAGCAAGACAAAGAGGGTGCTTCTGACTAGTATTGTTGATGTGTGGTTTTAAAGTAATCCCTGTCAGTAGTGAAAGGAGGTGTAGCCTAGGGCCCTCCTTTCCTTGGGGTCCACTAAGCACCTATTTTTGAAAAAGTGTAGCCGAAAGTAGAAAGGGCTGTCTCTGTCTATCCCCTGATTCCCCTCATTTTATTTTTTTTTAATTTTAATTTTTTCTCTTCTTTTCACAAGTGTTGATACTCCCCATTTTAAGCTTTTCCTTTTAAGTTTGGAATTGTAGATCTAAGATTAGGAACCGAGCCAGGTCATCAGGTAAGGGAAGCAATTAGCAAGATTCATGTTTTCTGGATGGGATTGGGACAGGGAAGTCAATATTAAAGAAAGTCTTATAAAATGGGAATATACTTGGGGCGCTTGCTTTTCAAGAGCCACATATGCTGCTCTTTGAATAGTAGCTGTTGTATCTGTGTTTCTTTTGCTCAGAACTAACGGTTATTAATGACTGTCTCTCAGAGTTTGAGGTGAATGTATTAAGATGTAGGAAGATCCGAGAAATAACCATAGAACCCTATTGTCAGTAGCCGAATAGGTAGATATGAAGAGCATAACCTTGCTCCACACTCTGCATAATAATAGAAGACATGAACAGTAAGGTAATACCAAATTGAATGTTGGGTCCAATTGTTTTTGAGCTGCTTTTCTTTTATTCCTTTTCTAGAAATTATCATAATATTGGTTTTTTTGTCCTCAGTTTACAATAAGATGAGATGCTCTATAAAGCTCTTTTCTGGTTGCAGGTAGTCTATAATAAAGCCTAGAGGAAAATGGGCGTTATGTGGTATCTGGAAGGTGGGGTGAGAGGTGCGCATGATGTCTCATGTGATTAATGTTTAAGCAGCTCTGATATTCTCAACAAATGAGTGCCAAGCTACCAATAATGAAAAATGATTTAGTCTCTCATAGACTATATATCTGTCATTCATGGGTCATACATGTGGTATAGATACCGTATAATTTATAGGTATATATTATGTATTTATGGATGTTTTTATAGTCCAGTGCAAATTAAAGTGACAGACATGTAGCCAGCAGTGAGCATGCAGCAAAGCAGTTCTAAATCTTAGTTATCAATAAAGGTAAAGCAAACTAATTGTGCCTATTACTTTTTCTTATTTAGGGCCTTTACTCTCAATTTGACATCACTTCATTTCAAATACATTGTAAGACAGGAAGAACACTGAGATAGTATCAAAACCCACTTCCTTTTATGTACAAAAATAAAGAGCTCTGACAGCAAAACTGATACTTCTAGTTGAAAATCGATAGAAACTTTCTTGATATATGTATACCTTTCAGCCAAATAGGAACAGAGAATAGAACTTTGAAATTCAGTCCAATATTAAAACTAGTTTATTGATTTCTATGTAAAGTGGAAGAACTTAAAAGTTAGTAGTTTTGGTTTCTAGTTTTCAGACAGGAAACACTATGTTCAGAGAAGAGTTTTATGGAATTCCAAATCAAGGTAAGGTGGAATAATAACTTCAGAAAAATGAATAACTAGAATCAACTACTTATATTGCTT